TCACATCCAAGTGCCAATATAAGTAAGGAATATAAGTAAAGTTGCTTTGGTTCTGATATTATAAGCAATGTAGTTTTGTGGCACATTCCGTAGAACTGAAAGACTGATGATGATGAAACCTTACCTTGATGGTGACGTAACTTGGAAAAAGCGGCGCCTTTAACGTGGTCTTGAATGTTTTCCTAACCACAATTAGCGAATTTCCGCATATCCTACAACGCACTTCATAACCATTTTTGCCAATTTTTATATTCATAATTTGAAGGTAATTTATGAAGGCTGTCTTAAGTGAAGCCATTCTAAAAGACTTACCCAACAAGGACTGAAAAATGTGCTTATGCTTACTTAAGTATATGTTTATATTACTTAGCTTTACAAATAAAGTTCAATAGGCATTGCAAGTCTAAATAAAACAATTTGATATGAACATTAAATAAATTCCTTAAAGAAGTATTATTTTTAAAAGTTAAGAAAAACTTTAAAAGAACTTCTTCAAACGGCGTCCTACAAAAGGCCTTTTTTGAGTAGCGAAAGCAGAAGCCCTTCAACTTGTGCCGCTCCATACAAAACATGAAGGAGAAAGGAATAACTTTCAGAAAAGCCTTTTGGATAAGATTTTAGCTCCTGATATTACCTACTCGGTAGTATTTAATATGACCCCTTAGTCGTGTACCTGATCAGAAACTTGCACTTTTTCGGCATTCGCCTGAAAAAAAGATTTTAACCCAATAAACAAAACAGAAAGAAGATATTCAACATGTTAGAAAAAACGTTTTGTTATCAGTTTTCGACTACATGACAATGACAGAAGGCCTAACCTTTTTTCATAGCAACTCTGCTAAAAAATAGAGGAGTGTCTGCTTTGACCTTCATTAAAAGATCAGGACAATTAAGTGTGGGCCAGGACTCCTCGACAATTTGTCTAAATCAGGAAAAGTCTTTTGAAACCAAGACATCTGGCAGCCCTAACCTAGATATTAAAAAAATAAAATAATTATTGGAACGGGGAAAAATTCGATTTCGCAGGCCTGTTTAATCCAATACAAAACAGCTTTTTATTTTTTATACTTTCTTATAAACATATAGTTCATTCTATAACAAACACCGTACAAATTCACATTTCAAACTTTGTGGAAATATACAAATTAAGCGAATTTTCGCCAAAACTTTACACTTTTATTTAAGAATTTTTGGAAAAGTTTTGCATATGCAGTTTTATAGCCCATGCAATTTTAGTATAACAAATTGCGAGTTTCATATGTCTACAAAATATCGTTGATTTTTGGCATTTTTTTACGGTGTCACTCATTTTCTTCCATACAGAGTATGTTCGAAATTTTTTATATGGAAGAAGATTAACAACACTGTCAAAAAAAAAATTGCCAAAAATCAACGGAAATATGTTTCGGTCTTATAATTATGTAACGCAGTGTACTATTAACTTTTTTGACTTGTATTTAGAGCAACTTTGAATTGTTTTTGTTTCTTTTAACAAGTTAACTTATTCTTTATTTATGTGTTAAAATAAATATAAAACAAATTTTTTGTGTTTTCAATATGGAGAATTTGTCCTCCTGGAATGCTAAAAAATTCTGGTCACCTTATCTACTACCACTCCACCCGCAGCAAGAGCTTAACATTTTTGAACCGGATGCTAAATAAAGATGACCGGAAATTGGATAAACTCACGATGCATGATTCCATCACATACCTATTTACGGATGTATTCAAAATCGCTTGCTGTTACGAGGTAAAAGGTTATGCTTTTATTACAAGGAAGTATTTTTTGCGTTTGTCTTAATATTTTTTTATATTTGCTTTTATGTTAATTTTAGATTTTGTTAGAAGAATTTCGGTATCATCCTTAATTTCACATCGAAATCAACTAATTTGGTCTTAGGACAATTGTTAATTAAATAAATTTAATTTCGCCAAAATTAAAAAAAAAAATGTTTGTCATTTAATTTAGGCGCCAATTTGTATTGTGAAATCAAGTACAAAACAATTCTTATACCTATATGTGCTAACTTTATCGCAAGAAAGTGTGGTAGAAACACTTGATTGAAATTTCGGATATTTCGAGGTCCAAATCCTGGATTTCGGTGCAATGGAAATGTATTATTAAACCGTGCGACAGTCAATTTTACACAAGAAAAAATCAATATATTCGCAAAACTGGGGGCCAAATATAGTAAAACTGCGTTTTTAGTTTTTCTCTCTGACGTCAGGATTTTTTTTTTTAAAGGTCTTTGAAATTTTTAGAATATGATTGAATACAAAAAATTATTCAAAAGATTCGATGAACTATATAATAACAATATTACCCATATTAGGTTAAAATTTAATTTTTTGGTGCACCAGGACGAATATGTATTGAAAATGTAGATTTAAAACAAATTTCAAACTAATTTAAAAAAATTGAGTTAATGAGTTTTGACTGATTGCGAGTGTTGTTTTCTACGCGCATCGTTTATTCTGGAAAAATGGTATAATAAAGTCCAGTAATAGCCTTCATGATTTTTAGTTTTATTATACCCGAGCGAACTTGTTCACAAGGGTATTATAACTTTTTTCACATAACGGTTGTTTGTAACAGGCAAAACGAATCGAGAGAGATATAGACAAATGTAAAATTTCAATTTTTGGAGGTATTTTCAAAATTGAGACATCTTAACGCAGCTTGGTGCGTGCACTTCTTTCGGGCGTAGGACGGACGGTATTGCAAATGGGCAAAATCGGACAATAACCACGCCTACCTACCATATAACGGTAATTTTCAGAAATACGAAAACTGCGATATTTTAGTAACTACTGAAGATTATTCACTCGAAATTGATATTTACAATAATTTTTAGACGAAAAATAAGAATATTATAAATTTTTGGAAAATGGGCTTAGCCACGCCCACTTTTGGTTACATGTATATATCTTGGTATCCGCTCCACCAATTTTTTCCAAACTTGGTACATTTGCTGGCCTTGGTACCAGTGTATTGTCAAAAACCGCGCCCACATAACGGTATATTAGAGAAATACGAAATATTCGATAAATCAGTAAATATTGAAGCTAATTTATTCAAAATTGATGCTTGCACCAATTCTTTTCCAAGNGAAAACTGCGATATTTTAGTAACTACTGAAGATTATTCACTCGAAATTGATATTTACAATAATTTTTAGACGAAAAATAAGAATATTATAAATTTTTGGAAAATGGGCTTAGCCACGCCCACTTTTGGTTACATGTATATATCTTGGTATCCGCTCCACCAATTTTTTCCAAACTTGGTACATTTGCTGGCCTTGGTACCAGTGTATTGTCAAAAACCGCGCCCACATAACGGTATATTAGAGAAATACGAAATATTCGATAAATCAGTAAATATTGAAGCTAATTTATTCAAAATTGATGCTTGCACCAATTCTTTTCCAAGGGCACCGCCCACTTATGATCACACACATATATATATATATATATATATATATATACATATATATATATAACCGTTGTACCAATTTTTACCAAACTTGGTGTGATTATTGTGCTTGCCACATTAGAGCAAAATGTTGAAAATTATTTTAATCGGACTAAAATACGGTCACTTTTCATATAACGGTAAATTTTAGAAATGCTTGAAACTTCAATATTTCGAATTTTAAGGACGCTAATACTACTAAAAACAATCCCTTGAAAAGAAGTAACATTGTTTGGAGTTTTGGAAAATCGGCGTGATATCGCCCACATATGACTATTTAAGTCTATCTTATTATGTCTAACTGAACGTTCTATCGAAGATGTTTAAAATAGGGGTAAAACCACCCCGGCTTACCATGTAGCAGTAGTTTTCGGAAAGGTGGAAAACATATATTTAATACTTGCACCGGGCTCCGCCCGAACTTAGACTTTCTTACTTGTTTTTTATTATAGACCCAGCCTCATTTCTATGTTCTGCAGCTCATACAACCCATCGTTAATCATATTCTCTGATATTCACATGCGCGAGGGTCTATAAATCTTCATCCTAATCTTTCCTTCGAAAAATCCAAAAGTCGATTCATCAGATCCATTCATGCTTCCTCGAAATACTCATAAAGTATGACTTTCGTTCGACAGATCGTCGCCTGGATAAAATACATATCATCGCTTGGCGCGCCATGCCTCCTATCCGCCGAATATAATACATCCTCCGAAGTCATCTACTACGTCAAAACAGGAAATATTAAGGTATTATATTTAGAAATGGATCTTGAGTGACTCAGTTCTGTTACCCGAGGAATATTTCCTACTATCAGATTAAAGAAATCACACACATTGCCTCGTTTAGCAATACACAAAAACCACAATTTACTATTTGGCAAACAAAAATGCAACTACGTACATGAATGGAAACTTTATAAAATCTTTAAAATTCAAGCATATGTACATACATAAAAACCGAATATTTTCCCTTTTTCTTAATTAGAGTTAAATTGGTATATATTAAAAAATTAATTTTAAAACCCGGCGCTTACTTTTTATTTTAAATATTATGTATGTATATGAATATTTTTTATTTTGACTCACCTTGGCAATGCACATCCAAGCAAATGATGAATATAATGGCAAATATTAACCATACTTTGTTGCTAAATACAATACTGCTGGCAACATTGAAATATTGCATTCGCGCCGACTGATGATGCTGCCGCAGCCAGCACCATTGCTGGCTTTGATGACCCCACGCTGGGGCTAACCTTTTAACACTCATTTTTTTAAACAGCAGGTGGAAATATTTTGCGTTATTAATACGAAATTTTTTTTTTCACTTTTTTTAGCTGATTTTATATAAATACAATTTTTTCTGCTAGCTTTGTATTTTTTAATTTCCTTTCTTTTGATTTTCTATTTCTGATGAATTCACACAATCACTTTCGATGAGACAAGAGCACGGCGGCAAAGCGGATCGAAGATATGCAATGCAGTGAGTTAAAAAGCACGTTTAATAAGTTTCCTTGTATGTCATCGTATCACTTAAATCTATTGTTATTGGTTTTACACTTGTTTCTGTAGTTGTTGCTGCTCATATCGATATGAATGTGGTCGTTGTTAGTTGGTTTGGTCGTTGCTAATCGCTATCTCTTACTGTGGTTCGTAGTTATGACATTCGTTGCTTTTGTTTAATTACTTGGTGCTGCTATTGGCGATGCCACTGATGACAATTGCTTTTATGCTTTGATCCAGCTAACATTTCCTACATATAGCTACACATCATTGAAATCTACGAAAATTACTAGAAACCTTTAATTATTTATTAACGGATTGAATTTTGGCTTTGTACAGTTAATGCATATTTTCTCTTAATTGTAGTAAAAAAATTTTACTGAGTTAATGATATTGGAAATTCGCTGATTTGCGAAACCTATTATTGCACTTTGTACATACATACATACGTACATACGAATATTTATACTTAATTAACACTTTTGCTTCAGTTATTTTAGCTCCTCATCTATTTCTTTAGGGATCGTATGTACGTACATATATGTATTTATGTACATTAGGGGGGGTCAATTTGTATGGAAAGTTTTTTTTTTGGCATCATTCCTAGGAGATGCGGATTCTACACGCAATTCTAAGAAAAAAGTCCATTAGAGCATATCGCTAGCTTAGAGTGAAAAGTTGCTAAGTCCCTATTTGAAAATTGTACAGGAGAGGAAAAAAACTTCTTATAGCCATTTTCTTCAAGTATTTCGCAAAACTTTAAATACAACATTTTGCCTGCTTAAAACAAAGACAAACTCCATACGAATCAAAGGGATTCGATCTATGTTCAAAGATTCCGTACTATTTTAGCCTTATCGAATTTTCGGAGCTTTTTTTGGACTTAGCAAATTTTTCTTTCATTCAATATAAACGAGAAACCATGAACAAGGACCTTTACCCTTTTCGAAACGATGCATTTTTATTTTCTCTAGCCTCCTGTATCAATATATGAGTTTTCATAAAAAGTGGACTTAGCAACTTTTCACTCTAAGCTAGCGATATGTATGAATGGTCGCCTCAAATAACGTTGTAAGCGACAAAATTATAATTTTACAAAATAAAAAAAAAAACTTGTTTACTGACGCACATACGAGGATTTGATTTGGTTTTCTACTTTTTCGGTGTAGCAGTCTTCAATAATCTTGCCTTTAAAAAAATAAAATATATACATTAATATCTTTAAAATTAAGGAAACTAACTTTGAACAAATTGTCGCTTACAACGTTATTTGAGGCGACCATTCATATATCTAAAAGCAACTCCGAGCCTTCGAAATTTTAAAAGAATCTATCTTAATACAAAGTTTAATATGTATTTAATAAAGTTTAATATCTATTTAATGTCTGTTCTTATTTAAAGAACCGCAAGATGGCGTTACAAATCTTCGTTTATCTTCTGCGCACTTATTAAGTGAAAATAAATAAAATAAAATAAAATTACAATTAATGACATTGAAAACGAAAAACGTGGAGCTCATGCAGTACAAAGCATTCGATTTCATTGACAATAGTCAAACTACATAACATTCTACAGAGAAAGTACAAATTTGAGATCGATTTCAAGCAGTCGTTATTCATATGCCCACATACATACATACATATGTTACTTTTCATATCAATTCAAGTGTATTACATGCGCCCCACTCTTTTCATTTTCAATGTCATTAATTGTTTATAATGACTTTTGCTAAAATTTCAAAATCAAAAGCTATCAAAACAAATTCTGTGGGACTGAGAGATATTATTTTCTACTTTTTAGTCAATTTATAAAAGCGTTGTATATTAAAAAATTTTTGTTTTATTTTATTTATTTTCTACTTTTTAGTCTTGTCTGTACAAAATTTTGCAATAGATATTAAAATAATTCAACGTGCAGTGAAAGAGAACAAAGAGAGATGCAAGCACAATGTTGTTTGCTCACATTTAGTATAAACATACATATGTACATACAGACTAGGGATGTTGTGAATGTGAAATTTTAGACATCCGCGGATACGGATGCGAATGCGGATGTCATGTATTTTTACGAAATAATTTAGGTGAGCAAATTAGGTGATTTAAGTAAACAAAAAATGGAAGGGTTAGTAATTTTTAATAATGTTTTTTAGTGCTTCAATTAAAAAATTGGAACATTGTATTTGATAAAAACTTTTTAAAGGGTCGTAGATCAAACCTGCGCCATTATATAACTACTCGCTCGAGGCTACAAACTTGAAAAAGTTGAAACTTGGCAAAATTGTAAATTCTTTCCGATTGACACTGCACCAGTTGAGAGGACTTTCAGTTATATTTATTTATTTAAATTGTGGTGCAATAATTCCGTTTTGAGAAATGCATCGGGGCTGCAAATGTCGAATGTATCATCCTGACTTTCCTATTCACAATCTAGCATCATGGCAGGATCGTTGTTTAAAAACCGTTGTTTTCGAAAGAATTCTTCATTCTCATTCTTTTGGTTGTTTCGGAATTTGGACAACCTTTAACGTCATCAGCGTTTTTCGATTTTAGTTTTTGTAACTCATTTTTAATGCTTTCTTCTGCGACTGGTTAGATATACGTTTTAACAGTGCGCTTGCACAATATTCGAGGGACCGAAAATAACAGTTATTTTTACGAGTTAAGGCTCAGTTATGCATACTTTGCACTGCACTGCACTGCATCACATTTTACGTAAACATCTAAAATCAACAGACTTTTACATATGTAATGCTGTGAGTTAGGTAACCGCTTACACGCAAAGCTCATTTAACATATTCCTTATGTGACAACTCTCATGCAATGCAAAGTATGCATAACTGAACCTTTAAACCTGCCTAATATTTTTTTATTGCGGATAATAAACAAACTGCTAATCCAAATTAAACAAATATGAAAGAGGACTGAGATAGCTTTTATACAGAAATAACAAACGAAGGTTAGAAGGTTACCACCGCTATTTATATCTTTTTTTTACAATTAATCTATATATATAAAATTAAGTGGCAAAACTTCCTGTTCGCATACTCCTCCTAGACGGCTTGCCCGATATCAAAGAAATTTTCAGGGGTGATTGGGGTCTGTGGGGAGGGTGCACATAAGAAATTTCATGTGTGTATCTTTGCACGTTTTGCAAAAACAAAAAAACAAAAAATTAATTTTGTTTGGCTTTACGTGTTTTTTTCGGATTTCTATCATTCCTAGACGGCTTGCCCGATTTCAATGAAATTTTCAGGAGTGATTGGGGTCTGTGTGGAGGGTGCACATAAAATGAAATTTTCCGAAGTGATTGGGGTCTGTGTGGAGGGTGCACATAGAAGATTTCTATCATTTCTAGACGGCTTGCCCGATTTCAATGAAATTTTCAGGGGTGATTGGGGTCTGTGTGGAGGGTGCACATAAAATGAAATTTTCAGAAGTGATTGGGGTCTGTGTGGAGGGTGCACATAAGAAATTTAATGTGTGTATCATTGCACGTTTTGCAATTAATTCTGTTTGGCTCTACGTGTTTTTTTTGGATTTTTATTATTGTTTTGCCGCAAGATTGGCAGTCCTGCCTTTTACTAATAAATAAACAGAAACAGCTGGCGAATGTTTACAATTATTAAAAAACATTGATAAAGTCATCTCAGCGGAAATTCCAGATGAAGCAATCGACCCACAATTATTCGGCGTTGTAACAAAAAATATGATTGAATTAGCACACGTTTGAGGAAAGGGTGCGATAGTAGACTCCAGTTATAAGATTATAAATTAAATTTCCAAAAGAAAGTGTGTACTTTACATATTTTCTAATTACCTTCGAAAAGATATTAATTAACACCCACACTCAAAAAAGTAAACAATGCTTCATATATCGAATATTTTTTTTAAATCTTACTTCATAAAGCTCTTTAAATATATTGTATAAATGAGGTCATACGGGTTTTGGGAGAGGGTTACAACACAAAAATACATTTATGGCGCAGCGAAGCACGCCGGGTAATTGCTAGTACAAAATAAATTCATATACATACCTGACCCAACTTTTGTTCTATGGTAATTAATTAAAATTTTTTATTGAAATATTTTTCAATATGTGGCTTTCCTCGTTTAGACATTTCAGTTTTAAAGCTATTTAAGTCCTCTTTCATTTGATACCAAACTTGTTTAATTAAGATAAGCGGTTTGCTTATTATCCGGAAAAGACTTTTATTTCGGAATAATAAATATTTGGTCAAGTTTAACTTTTATTTCGGAATAACAAATATTTGGTAAAGTTTAACTCTTAAAAAATAACTGTGATTTCCGGTCCGGTAATTTAAAGAAATGGCGTGTCGTCCATTTCCGCTGTGACGTATATAAATAGTGCATATATTTACGCGAAATATTTACCTTCTTCTGGCGGGGCGACATCTAGAGTCTTCTAATTGTATCTCCTTGATATGATGCCTACAACGAGGTTGATATTTAGACTAGGTTAATATCTAGAATTTTCCATAAATAGCTTTGCTACATTTATAGTAGGTGCATTCTTTTGCAACCGAGCTACAAAAGAACGCTCGCTTAAATGACGAAATACACGCAAAGCAACAACACAAACTCGGCTATTTATCCGAGCTCACCCAGGTCGGTTAAAAAATACGCGACCTGAAGGCTAGTGCTGGTAAGTGAAAAAACTGCTCTATTGTGAATTGTTAATGGGAAAGTGGAGAGGGAAATTTTTTCTTCCTTTTATACGTGACTTATATTTTAAAAGAGTATATACATTACGCAAATACCTCGCATAATTACTCATTCAAATTGCTTTTTGTATCTAAATCCCGTTAAACTAATCACATGTTCTTGCCAGCTACCAACAGGGTTGCTTAAGTAACTAAAAGGAAATTTTACCCGAGTTGAGGGTTCTTTTGTCGCTCGCTTACAAAAAAATGCAGCTAGTATAAATGGTGGTCTGGACATACAACATTCAAAGCGGTCTGGACATACAACATTGCAAGTTGGTAAAAGCGTTGTAATAATAAAATAATATATCTCAGTCCCATAGAATTTGTTTTGGTAACTTTTGATTTTGAAATTTTAGCAAAAGTCATTATAAACAATTTATGTGATTGAAAAGGAAAAACGTGGAGCGCATGCAATACAAAGCATTAGATTTAATTGACAATATTCAAACTACATACATAACATAGACCTAAAATTTCTACAGCGAAAGTACAAATTTGAGATCGATTTTAAGCGGTCGTTATTAATGTACCCACATACATACATATATTTCAAATCAGGCCTATTACATGCGCCCCACACTTTATTTTCAATCTCATAAATTGTTTATAATAGGGGTATTCTCTGAGTCTTGCAAAGCCCTTGCACAGTGCACGGATTGCACGGTTTGCAAAGCTGTCCCATACGAAAACCGGTTTTTACCATCCAATCCGTGCAATCTGTGCACCATGCAAGGGCTTTGCAAGACTCAGAGAATACCCCTAATGACTTTTGCTAAAATTTCAAAATCAAGACTTATCAAAACAAGTTCTATGGGACTGAGAAATATTATTTTATAATTTTAGTCCATTTATAAAAGCGTGGTACATTAAAAAGATTATTTTATACTTTTTAATCTTGTCTGTATAAAATTTTGCAATAGATACTAAAATAATTCAACTTGCAGTGAAAAGAGAACAGAAGACTATGCAAGCAAAATGTTGTTTGCTCACATTTAGTATATGCCTACATATGTACATACATACATATAGCAGCAATTGATTTCATTTAAAGAAATGGCGTGTCGTCCATTTCCGTTGTAGTGCATATTTTTAACTTCTACTGGTGAGGCGACATCTATCTCTAGAGTTTTTCTAATTGTATGTCTTTGATATGATACCTACGACGAGGTTGATATCTAGACTAGGTTTGCCATAAATACCTTTGCTATATTTATAGTATGGTGGTCTGGACATACAACATTGTAAGTTGATAAAAGCGTTGTAATAATAAGAGTTAAAAAGGATTGTGTGCCCACAGTAGCCGAATGGTTACAGCTGGGTCTTACCACTCCATAGGACCTGGGTTCGATCCCTGGGACCTATTTCATAGAGCGACAGTGAAAATTTTGTAACGACAGGCATTTTCCATGTTATCAGTAACAATTCGACAGTTTGGTGGGTGTTCTGTTTCATGAAAACAATTATCATTGACAAATTGTCATTGTCGGGGTTTAAAATTATCGTTGACAAATTTGTCGCCAGCCATATGTAATTTGTATGTAAATCATATGTAATAATTACATTTGCATTATTTTACTTTTAAGAAATATTCAAATTATTGAAAAGTAATGAAATGCGCGCAATTACCATATAAATAAATTTACAAAGCTCTCCTGTGAAAACTTTCCGACGGAGCTATTTGGTTTTGTCGCCAGTGCACATTAGGTTAAATGATTCATTTGGCTGTGTGAAAGTCCAATTTCGTAAACGCAGTTTTACATTATTTTTTGATGCCATCTGTAGGAAATACTCCAAACTAACAGAAACTTCACTTTGTTTTTGTAAAATAAAAATCACCATTAGACAGCAATCAAACAAAGTTACACTTTCAAAACGTTATTGACACGTGGTTTGCGCAACCGGTTTATTTCTTAATTTTAAAGTGCATTTGTTTATAAAGTTCGAATAATTAAAGGAAAATGTTTAATGGAAAACAAAAATATAGGTGAGAACTAATGTCCTAATTTAAAAAAAAAGTGACTTTATAATTTTTTTGCAAAACAAACTGACTTATTTGCATAACCTCAAAAATTTTCACATTTATTTCCATTTATGATTTAATGTAAGCTTTTACAATTTTGTTAACTTTCGGCAAACAAAATGGAAATGGAAATGGATAAACTGGGATGTAGTGAGTTGAGCTTATTTTACTTAAGCCGCCGTTTTAAGCCGTTTTCAAGAAAAACTGTTTTTTCTGGGCTATCATGCAAATAAAAAAGGCGAGATGTTTGTAGTTTGGCTGATTGGATGTTCAAAGAAAGAAAGGCTTTATTCGGTTGTCAACCATGTTGAAAAAACAAATTTGGTGCTGTTGATATCTGTGAAAGTTTCATGAAACTCTTAGAAGAAAAAACGCGTATTTTTTTTAAATTATTTATCAAACAAAGACGAAAATTATGGAATTATTATCCCGTTTCTTACTGATGAAGTTGTTTTAGAAATCAAAACCAACTGTGTCGACCAGCAGCCTGATTCTAACTTTCGCTATCGCTAAAATATGCTAAAATGCGAAAGCTAACATTTTATCCGAATTTTTGGCTATCCCAAATAATTTCGGTTCTGTCCTCCCTTTCGCTAAAAATAACTTAGCCTAAATTTTAATATTTTACCCGGCCGCAAGTGGCGCTGCATTTTAATGGTGGTAAATAGTCCATTTTAATGGTGATAAATAGTGAAAATGGAAGCATTTGATAGCAAAAAAATACCAGCCTCAATTTGGATTACATTTCATCTCCTGTAGCATAGCTATGTTACAAAGACACTTGGGCCGATTTGTAAAGACTATTGATGAGCAGCCTTCGTAAAAAGGCGAATCATTGAGAGAATATATGGATTGCAATTTCGAAGTTTTTGCTCACGGTGAATAGAGCTTTGAACATTCTTTTCGTAAATTATTTTCAAAAACATTCGTATTCTTTTCAGGAAGTTACCAGCGGTTTTTAGTAAATGTGTTACAATGCAGCATTTGCAGTCAGAATATAAATAATATTGGCGAACAATTTGGAAAAAATCTTAAGTGAAAATTAAGTGTTTTATAAAGACTAACTGCTTAAGGAATCTCTCCTCAAGGCATATCTGCGAGACATGTAGCAAATAAATATTTTTTGAATTAAGGGATTTCGATAATATTTTTTTTAATCACTAGATGAAACCATTTATGTACATATGACCATACTTATTTTATTTATGTAGCTCAACCCCCTCCGGGTTGAGTATGGTAAGAAAATAATTTGTTTCAAAACCAGGCTATTTGGAAAATGTTTTCGAGAACTACCTAAACACATATACTCATCATTTGAACATAAAAAAGTCTGTTTTACGAAAGCCAAGTCACGATTTTTACATTATATTTACTGACTTTACACTTTTTTAACGGTTTCCATCCTTTTACATTAAAATGATGCTATATTTTAGCGGCTATTAATTTCGCACAGAAAAAGTAATCATTTGACCTAATGTGCTTTGTCGCGACAATTTTGTTAGAGTGACAATTGTCAGCAATTGTCAAAAATATTCCATATTATCACTATCGTTTTCCACAAATTTTCACAGTTGCCTACAAACGTAAATGAATAAGGAAAAATGTCGCCGACAATTCTGGCAGTAAAATTTTATAGAAAAATCGACAATTGTCGCACCTATCACTTTTATGAAATAGGTCCCTGGTCAAAGTACCATCAAATAAAAAGTTTTTTTCATAACAGCGGTCCCCCCTTGGCAGACAATGGCAAATATCCAATTTAATTTCTGCCTTGAAAAGGCTTCTCACAAAATCCATTTGCCCCGTTCTACAGTGTGGCGACTAGAAGAAGCTAGCTGGACAAAATTATTGTATTAGTGTTTTAGATAGATAAGGTCGAAACTAAAAAAAAATGTGCTACGACCAGGGTCGGAAATTCCCCGTTGAGCTGTTGACATCGATGTTTTTTCTCATCATATATGTTTTTGCAAATTGCAACCCTACATTTATTTGATGCGTAAAAAGGTAAAATGAAGTAATTTCATTCTCTTAAACATTTTCGATAAAACTTTAGTGATTAAAGACATTCGGGCATGTGCTGCAAATCGTACGATTTGAAATCGATGCGATTTGCAAAATATTTCTTAATTAATTCTGTGGTCATAAGCAATAACTAACTGCCTACGTCGACTTAAAAAAGAGTTGGATATGCTATGGTATCCTGCAATTACTATTCGATGTGTATGTGAAGTCCCCATGTCTCCAGCTAGGCTATTTAAAAAGTATAGACAAAAATATTTCGGCTTCCCCATAAGTTAACATTACAATCCAAATGATTAAAACGTTTTTTCTCGAAATAAGGTTTTTTTGTCTTAGGCGGTTATTGCTGATGACCACAAAATTAAAACAGGTAATAAATATTTCAAATAAAAACTGATATAAACACAAAAGGACGTCATATTCTTCGACTTAGAGCCAAACTTTTTCTGTTTTGTTAAGAAAAAAAAAATTTACAAATCGTACCGATTTCAAATTGTACTATTTGCAGCACATGCCCGAGTAACTATTAAATTGCGGGGGTGTTAGAGACTTGAAGAATTGAAGTGCGTGAAGACCATGGATGAATATTTTCAAAATAAGTGTTTTCTTGTCATATAATTTCCATGTGTTCTTGGGTACAGATTCAATTTAATCGAGCCCTTGAAAGGACAAAAGCGTTATACATAATTTGATATATTCATAAGTCAATAAAAATCCTAATATTTGCAAGACTTTAAGAATGCACCTGATTTGAGTAGACCAGTTGCAAACAGCGTT